TTAAACAGTTTATCTTTATCTACCCTGTCAATTCCTCTAATAATTTTGTAGGTAGTGATCATGTCTCCCCTTACTCTTCTGTCTTCTAGTGTCGTAAGGTGCATTTCCCGCAGCCTTTCTTCGTAACTCATGCCTCTTAGTTCTGGGACTAGTCTAGTGGTATATCTCTCAACATTTTCCAGCTTCGTCTTGTGCTTGACAAGGTACGGGCTCCATGCTGGGGCCGCATACTCCAGGATTGGTCTTACATATGTGGTGTACAAGATTCTGAATGATTCCTTACACAGGTTCCTGAATGCTGTTCTGATGTTAGCCAGCCTCGCATATGCCGCAAACGTTATTCTCTTTATGTGGGCTTCAGGAGACAGGTTTGGTGTGATATCAACTCCTAGATCTTTCTCTCTCTGTCCGTTTCATTAAGTACTTCATCTCCTATTCTGTATCCTGTGTCTGGCCACCTGTTTCCACTGCCTAGTTTCATTACCTTGCATTTACTCGGGTTGAACTTTAGTAGCCATTTGTTGGACCATTCATTCATTCTGTCTAGGTCATCTTGTAGCCTCATACTGTCTTTCTCTGTTTTAATCCTCCTCATAATTTTGGCATCAAGAGCAAACAATGAGAGGAATGATTCTATACCATCTGGAAGATCATTTACATATATAAGAAATATTATGGGTCCAAGGACTGACCCCTGCGGAACCCCACTGGTGACATCTCGCCAATCTGAGTCCTCACCCCGCATAGTGACTCGCTACCTTCTGTTACTTAGGTACTCCGTTATCCAATGGAGTACCTTCCTTTCACTCCAGCTTTTTCACTAGCCTCTTGTGTGGTACTGTGTCAAATGCTTTCTGGCAATCCAAAAATATGCAGTCTGCCCTCCCCTCTCTTTCTTGCCTGATCATAGAATTCAATTAATCCTATGAGGCATGACTTGCCATCCCTGAATCCATGTTGGTGTTGTGACATAAAGTTCCTTCGCTCCAGATGTTCGACTAGCTTTTTTCGCACAAATTTCTCCATTAGCTTGCATGATATACAAGTTAAGGACACTGGCCAGTAGTTCAGTGCCTCCTGTCTATCCCCCTTCATGTATATCGGGATTACTGATACTAATTACTGTCAAATTTCTGGCAGTTCACCTGTTACCAGTGATTTGTTATACACCATGGAGAGTGGTAGGCACAGTGCTTCTGCTCCTTCCTTTAGTATCCATGGGGATATTCCATCCGGGCCTATAGCCCTTATCACATCCAACTCTAGCAAAAGCTTCTTTACATCACCACCGTTAATCTCAAACTCTTTTAGTGGTTCCTGGTTAACTATTCCCTCTCTTATCTCTGGAACTTCCCCTTGCTCTAATGTGAAGACCTCTTTCAATTTCTTATTCAGTTCCTCACAAACTTCCTTGTCGTTTGTAGTGAATATGTCTGCCCCAATCCTCAATTTCATTACCTGTTCATTTACTGTTGTTTTTCTCCTGATGTGGCTGTGCAGCAATTTAGGCTGAGTCTTTGCCTTGCTTGCGAAGTCATTTTCGTATTGTCTTTCTGCCTCTCTTCTCAACCTGACATATTCATTCCTGGCATTCTGGTATATTTCTCTGCTCTCAAGTGTCCTGTAATTTCTATAGTTTCTTTTGAAGTTTATCATTAAAGACCCTTAGAGAAGAGATAGAAGAAGAAAACCCTTAAAAGATTTAGAGATTTGAGATAAAGTTTGTTAAACTTCACTTGTGATGTAAGCAAGTTAGTGCATAATATATATAAGGCTATGGGTCCCCCTTCTTCCAGCCAGAGGTGGTACTCCCTTCCCTATTGTTTATATATATATATATATATATATATATATATATATATATATATATATATATATATATATATATATATATATATATATATATATATATATATATATATATATTTTATCATGACACTTACTGTTGACTTTAATAATTATTAAACAAGTAAGATAAAACAGTAAATACAGTGAACAGTGATGCACTCACACCAGGGAATTGGCAGACGCCGTCACCCACACCACAAGTCTGGTGGGCCACACCGTCACCCACACCACAAGCCTGGTGGGCCACACCGTCACCCACACCACAAGCCTGGTGGGCCACACCGTCACCCACACCACAAGCCTGGTGGGCCACACCGTCACCCACACCACATGCCTGGTGGGCCACACCGTCACCCACACCACAAGTCTGGTGGACCACACCGTCACCCACACCACAAGTCTGGTGGTCCACACCGTCACCCACACCATCCCTCCCCCAACAACAGCAGCGTTACAGCGTGTTCGTCACACTCAAGTTTCCAAAGGTTGTCTCAACACCTGTTGCTCGCTGCACCTGTGCTTCCTGCGGTGTTTACAGAACACCTGTGCTGCCACAGGAGGAACTCTACCGTAAATTACGAGTTGGTGTGTACACCAAGTGAGTGAACACACACACACACACACACACCGTGTACTGTATGTATGCACTGTATGTGTGTGTGTGTATAATGCATGTGTGTGTGTGATGTATTTTCGCGTGTGTACTCACCTACGTGCACTCTGCTACTATATCTCACATTCTGCACGCAGTGACATATACTCCTGGTTCACCATCACCTCTCATGCCATTCTCGGCAACAATGCCAACTTCACCATTGCCCCAAAACACTGTACTTCTCGCTTCTCCCGCCACACGATGTCTATACAACAGCAGAAAGCACTTGTAACCTCGATTCTCATACATAGTGAACCTTTAATTAATCTCTCTGTCTCTGTCTCTGTCTGTCTGTCTGTCTGTCTGTCTGTCTGTCTGTCTGTCTGTCTGTCTGTCTGTCTGTCTGTCTGTCTCTCTCTCTCTCTCTCTAAAGTAAGTTATTCAATGCTCAACATTACTCTTCATTCACAGACAACTTCTTTCCTTTCTTCTTTCTGTTCTCTTAATATTAACTTCATTCTACACTTTATTATTAATAAATCACTTTTTTCGGGTCTGACAGCTGAGCTGACAGCGCTTCGGATTTGTAGTCCTGAAGTTCCGGGTTCGATCCCCGGTGGAGGCGGAAACAAATGACATTCTTTCACCCCTGATGCACCTGTTCACCTAGCAGTAAATATGTACGAGGGAGTTAGACAGCTGCTACGGGCGGCTTCCTGGGGGTGTGTAACCAAAAAGGAGGCCTGGTCGAGGACAGGGCCGCGAGGACGCTAAGCCCCGAAATCATCTCATGTTAACCACAAGACATATTGAACGAAGATGCGCTATGTCCTGGAGATTCAAACGATGTACAGATATTGTGGCGAACAAAGACGCGAAGGTTGCTACAAGTTTAAAGTCAGTAACCCCAATGTAACACCCATTAGGCCAATATTCCTTCACGCTCTGTTATCTCCAGCACCAGACTGCGCCAGCAACAATGACTAAGTACTCTACTGTCCCCCCTCTCTCATGCCCGTTTTCTATGACACGCACGTAAACACTGGCGATTTTATGAAACGGATTACGGGGAGAGCTTCCTGTTGCGGATCGCAGTAACGGGAAGCTCTTTAGATGGGACACTACCTTAATTTTTTACATCAGATTTATATATATACACACATTGATTGATTGATTGATGACGTTAAGCCAGGCAAGAGGTAACACGGGCATGAATAGCCCGTAAGTGGTAGATTTTTTTGGGGGGAGTGAATGTGATCGTTGGTGGTGTATATATATATATATATATATATATATATATATATATATATATATATATATATATATATATATATATATATATATATATATATATATATATATATACACAGGAAGCACTCGGTGTATATACACTGAGGAGTTCACCCCGAAATTCCGGTGCCTATACTTGCTTTCCTAATGTCCCTCGACAAAATACTTGGTGCATCCGATGCCTTACATGCCGCTCGCCTGATGTCGCATTTTTGTTCTGACAATGGCGTCCTCAGCGGTATTTAGCGCCTGATAAATACCCAGCGCCACTGATGGCGCTCCTGGTCTCCACGGCCCGTGCCTTCTCATATTTACTCACCGAACACTAACTATGGGGAAGTGAGGTGTAAAGCCATATGCCCCGCCTTCCAGTGTTAGTTGTATCTAGTGTAAATCTGCTCTTAAAGTTGTGGATGGAGGTGGCTTCCACAACTTCCTCTCTCAGTGCAGTCCACTGGTTGCCCACCCGTACACAGTATGAGTATTTCCTCATATTTTCTTCGCCTCATTTTCGAATCCGGCTTCCACTTGCGTCCTCTTGTCCTACTTTCCTCTCAAGATAGGGAGTATTATGAGGATACCTTGCATTGTGAGAATGGTCTGAACAATGAGGAAGGGTGTGTACTGTGAGGAAGGGCTGTACTGTGAGGAAGGGTGTGTACTGTGAGGAAGGGTGTGTACTGTGAGGAAGGGTGTGTACTGTGAGGAAGGGGTGTACTGTGAGGAAGGGTGTGTACTGTGAGGAAGGGGTGTACTGTGAGGAAGGGCTGTACTGTGAGGAAGGGTGTGTACTGTGAGGAAGGGGTGTACTGTGAGGAAGGGTGTGTACTGTGAGGAAGGGGTGTACTGTGAGGAAGGGTGTGTACTGTGAGGAAGGGGTGTACTGTGAGGAAGGGCTGTACTGTGAGGAAGGGTGTGTACTGTGAGGAAGGGGTGTACTGTGAGGAAGGGTGTGTACTGTGAGGAAGGGGTGTACTGTGAGGAAGGGCTGTACTGTGAGGAAGGGTGTGTACTGTGAGGAAGGGGTGTACTGTGAGGAAGGGTGTGTACTGTGAGGAAGGGGTGTACTGTGAGGAAGGGCTGTACTGTGAGGAAGGGTGTGTACTGTGAGGAAGGGCTGGGACTGGAGGTCATACAGTGTGTATGGGTCACAGGAGGGCGGGTGGGGGCTGGGTGGGTGTGAGTGTGTGTGTGAGGGTGGCGGGGGAGGGTGGAGCTGGTCACAGTGAGGGCCGTCCTCAGCCTCACCAGTGTTGCGGGCGGCAGCAGGAGCGGCGGAGCACCACTCAGCAGGGCACCGTTCCTCACCGTCGTCGCCACCATGATGTGCTCCGCTCTCAGGTGGGTGGTGACACCTCCCTCGGGTGCTCGTCCTCGGCTAACTTTCAGCACACAGGACGCGACTGTATGCCGCAGATTACGTTATTACGTTACGCTCAACCTCATACAGCTTCTGTCCGTCCCGTCCGTCTGACGGGTCCTGTCCAGCTAAGACGTTTTTTATTTGTTTTGTCTATGGAAATTTAACGTGGAAAAATGGATGGATGTTGCTCTAGTGATGTTGACAGATGTTCGGTTATCTCACCTAAATTATTGACAGTTGAGAGGCGGGCCGAGAGAGCAAAGCTCAACCCTCGCAAGCACAACTAAGTGAACAACGAAGGGAACTATCCCCTGATAGTTCCCTTCCTCACAAAGTTCATAATTCGCCTGAGTTATGAACTTTGGTTAAATGTTAAATGTTTATTTAATGTTAAACTTATTGGGCGCAGTCTGTTAACACCATTGCTGTATAATCTTACTGGGTAACTGCTTTATAATGGTAATTCCTACCTCACTCGAGGCCATGAGGTCACGTCAGGATAAGGAGAGACGATATGGTAATGAGGACTAGAAGATGAGAGAAAGTCAGATCACCTCAAACTGTCACGATGCCTTGAGGTCCTGGCGTGACCCCAGCGCCCTAAACTTCCTTGTGGCTCTCTTCTGGAATGACCTGACCTTTCACCTGCCTCAGGTGACCGATGTTTGGCCAAGCGTAGATCATGGCGGGATCCCGGTATAACCCACGACTCACAACCTAGGCGTTATGGAGCATTACAAAGTGTCTAGCAAGACATGAAGATTTTGGGATCTTCGCAGAACGCACGAAATAAGTAGGGAGTGAAGGGGAAGAGACTTAATCCCGAGATAGGATAATGAAGGGTGAATGTCTTGCTATGGACCTGAGGGCAGTTGTTGTTGTTTGAGATATGCTACGTAGTGGTACGTGAATATGCTGGGTAGCATACGTGCGTATGCTACGTGAGCCCGTAGTGGACTAACCTGGCACAGGAGCAGGACTGTGACCCGCTGAGGGCAGGGTTGTGTGGCTGATAATTCCAACTTCCTCAGCTGTGAGATGGTGTGACCCCGTGAGACGGAGTGACCCGAGGAAGGAATGACCTGTGATTTCATTCCCTTCATGTTGAGTAGTGGAGTGTGTCACGTCATGACGAGAGAAGTGAGGTGCAGAGTAGTTGAAGGTGTCATTACACGTGATAACAGGGTTGCCAGGTTGGGCTACTTGTAGCGAATTGGGCTACCTTTGAATGTCCTGCGCTCCCAAATGTTTAATTTCGCTACTTGCGACTTTTTTGGGCTAATTTAAAAGCAAGTTGGGCTACTTTGGGCTATTTATGTTAAACTCAATGATCATTATTTATGCCTTTATAATGTAATGTGTATAAATCACAGTCGCGTCCAACAGCCTGATTGATTAGACCACTTACCGCAGGAGGCTTGGTCAGAGACCGGCCCCCTGGGGACGTTGATCCAATGGAACCTTCGAAAGAACAAGTAATTGCAAGGCAAAGTAATCCTCCCCAGGGGCTATAGATGTCCCAACCTTAAGTGTCATTAATACTTCATCCCAAAAGCTACACCTGCTTCCACAGATCTTCATTAAGGGGAGAAAGTTATCTAGACATTTATAGCTTGATAAATGATGGGAAAGATCCCCTACAGTTAATATCTTTGTCAGGAAGACGATGGTTGTCAAGGAGCGGTAGTGTTAAGCGGCTGTTAGATCAGCGGGTTTCTTTAACAACTCATTACCAAATCGCTTCTTCCTCATTGTAATGCAACTATTTTCACTGCACTCTGGTCCCCCAATAAGCTATATTTCACATTTCTCTAACCTTTTCTAAATGATTTTGAAAGGATGAATTTACACTTTTAGCAATTAACAGACAAAACAATTTTGTAACCCAGGAAAAGTTTCAAAATATTCAAGAAAGATGCCATAATTTTTTTAGTGAAGGCTTGCAAATAACTTCTTTCTCGTATTCTAAGTAATGCTGAAACTTTCAAAAAGGTGAAAAATCTGTCACCTGTCATATGCCTTAGCCACACACGGCCACCAACTTTGTTTCAGAACTTCCATAAGTACTGGCTGACCAATGTAAGCTTAGTGAAATTGAAAGTCAGTGGCGCCTACTGTTAACCATTGACTGGTCCAACATTTGTGAGGGACAAGTTACAACAACTGGATTATCATTTTGGACCATGCAATAACTGTCATGAACCCTGCTGGCGATCCCATCCTCATTGACCTCGCTGAGTTTGCGTTGAAAATATACAGTTTACTGATCAGTAGTGCTTTGTTGAACGGGTATTTTCCAGAGTAACATCTGTGAAAACTAAACTGAGAAATCTAATGGGACGTGAACTTTTGGCATCAATATTCAGAATCAAAACATATCTTGAAGAAAACGGAACTTGTCGTCCATAATTTGAACCACTCATGACAATGCGTAAATATGAGTCTGCGATATACAAGAACGAGATTGTGAAATATATATACAGAGATAATATTAATAAAACAATTAAAATCGTGAATTGTACTCTATATATCAAAATCTATTACTTTGAAACCCATATCAGTCACTAAACAAAAAATTGGGCTACTCTTATTATAAATTTGCTACTTTTAGACCCTCAACTCGCTACCTTCAGCAATTTGGATGTGCCAACTCTGCTTGATAGTGAGCTGTTTAGCCTCCCTCACACTCACTACACTTGATAGTGAGCTGTTTAGCCTCCCTCACACTCACTACACTTGATAGTGAGCTGTTTAGCCTCCCTCACACTCACTACACTTGATAGTGAGCTGTTTAGCCTCCCTCACACTCACTACACTTGATAGTGAGCTGTTTAGCCTCCCTCACACTCACTACACTTGATAGTGAGCTGTTTAGCCTCCCTCACACTCACTACACTTGATAGTGAGCTGTTTAGCCTCCCTCACACTCACTACACTTGATAGTGACATAGCCTCCCTATTGGTTGTGTCCGTAATGGTCTCAGTAATAAGGCTCTTGCACGGTCCGCTGGTCACTTCACAGGAGACACAGCTGCTCACACCTGTCAACATGAGGCACCTGTCAACATGAGGCACCTATCAACATGAGGCACCTGTCAACATGAGAAACCTGTCAACATGAGGCACCTGTCAACATGAGGCACCTGTCAACATGAGGCACCTGTCAACATGAGGCACCTGTCAACATGAGAAACCTGTCAACATGAGGCACCTGTCAACATGAGGCACCTGTCAACATGAGGCACCTGTCAACATGAGACACCTGTCAACATGAGGCACCTGTCAACATGAGGCACCTGTCAACATGAGACACCTGTCAACATGAGGCACCTGTCAACATGAGGCACCTGTCAACATGAGGCACCAGTCAACATGAGGCACCTGTCAACATGAGGCACCTGTCAACATGAGGCACCTGTCAACATGAGGCACCTGTCAACATGAGGCACCTGTCAACATGAGGCACCTGTCAACATGAGGCACCTGTCAACATGAGGCACCTGTCAACATGAGGCACCTGTCAATATTGCTAGCAATGCAATATAATAACAAAACATTGTGCATCGTTGCAACATATTGCCTTGTGACTATATGACTTGTGGCACTTGCTTGTGTGCCAGTGTGTTGGTAAGTGTTCGTGCAAGTGCTACATCATGGTCACAACAAGTGCTACATCATGGTCACAACAAGTGCTACATCATGGTCACAACAAGTGCTACATCATGGTCACAACAAGTGCTACATCATGGTCACAACAAGTGCTACATCATGGTCACAACAAGTGCTACATCATGGTCACAACAAGTGCTACATCATGGTCACAACAAGTGCTACATCATGGTCACAACAAGTGCTACATCATGGTCACAACAAGTGCTACATCATGGTCACAACAAGTGCTACATCATGGTCACAACAAGTGCTACATCATGGTCACAACAAGTGCTACATCATGGTCACAACAAGTGCTACATCATGGTCACAACAAGTGCTACATCATGGTCACAGCAAGTGTCACATCATGGTCACAACAAGTGCTACATCATGGTCACAGCAAGTGTCACATCATGGTCACAACAAGTGTCACATCATGGTCACAGCAAGTGTCACATCATGGTCACAACAAGTGCTACATCATGGTCACAACAAGTGCTACATCATGGTCACAGCAAGTGTCACATCATGGTCACAACAAGTGTCACATCATGGTCACAACAAGTGCTACATCATGGTCACCAAATCATTTATATCTTCCTTCAACACTAACTTGTCACGCTCCAAAAAAAGCGTCTTCTTGTGTACTACAGAGAGAGAGAGAGAGAGAGAGAGAGAGAGAGAGAGAGAGAGAGAGAGAGAGAGAGAGAGAGAGAGAGAGAGAGAGAGAGAGAGAGAGAGAGAGAGAGAGAGAGAGAGAGAGAGAGACAGAGAGTCACATAAATTGAGAGAGAAAACCGCAAGTTCCTTCCCGCTCCATAAAGTTAATGTTGTCATACAGGTGAAGAGTTGTGTGTGAGAGCCATAGAGCAGGTGTTGAGGCCGCCACCGTCGTGGCCGGCCCCGTACACCAGTACCTTAACCAACTTCCTGCCCTACATCACAACCCATTCCCGGCCCTCGAATTGGGTCTTTCCACTGTCTGCTCGTACCATTGTCTCAGGGCTCCTGGTACCTCTGTCTCAGTTCTCCTGGTACCACTGTCTCAGGGCTCCTGGTACCACTGTCTCAGGGCTCCTGGTACCACTGTCTCAGGGCTCATGGTACCACTGTCTCAGGGCTCATGGTACCACTGTCTCAGGGCTCATGGTACCTCTGTCTCAGGGCTCCTGGTACCACTGTCTCAGGGGCTCATGGTACTACTGTCTCAGGGGTCATGGTACCACTGTCTCAGGGCTCCTGGTACCACTGTCTCAGGGCTCATGGTACTACTGTCTCAGTGGTCATGGTACCATTGTCTCAGGGCTCCTGGTACCACTGTCTC